GGAGGGGGTGGTGGTGGTCCTGGGTCTTTGTTCTCGTCGGTACCCGTCATCGGTGTATCTTGATCAACTGCGCTGTCAAGATTCCGTTTCGATCTTCGGGTGGTCAGAGTTGTACCAGATGTGGGCTCTACAATCATCGTCAGTTCTGTACTTCAACAGAGCCAACTTATCCACGGGATATACAAACCTGACGGAGGTCCCGTGGTCTTCTTAGAACGGCTCGATTTTCTGCTAGAAGAACCCGAGGGAATGGAGGTCTCTGCAGGATGCGCAGATCCGGGTTGGTTGTTACTAGGGTCGTTAATACATTGAATCTAAGCCACCAGCTACAAGCACTTTGCATCAAAGACTTACTCCGGGCTGTCCATATCAACAGCGGGCTTTCCCTTTCGCCGAGATCTTGATGTGATGTGATTGTTATGGTTGGTGTTCGGAGGTGAAACGGCTTCGGGGATCTTTTGTCTCTTGGACCGTCGACCTGAAGACCCAGAGGGTGGTAGTGCGTCGTTGGGGCTCTTCTCGGCGGCGAGCCCTTTTCGCTTGCGTGTGGATGGAGTAGTGGAGGGTACGGCCGGGACGTCAGCAGCGGCAGGAGCAATATTGTTAGTTTGGGCTGCCTGACTCGCTGCTTGACGAGCCGAAGATCTGGTGATTCTAGAAGACATAATTGTCGTGAGCTTGACGATACATCTGCGTTAAGGCAAATAATGGGGAAGATGTGAGAGATGATGTTGACGGATGTCGCACGGAAGATGGAGGGAGAAGAAGAAGGAGAAGGAGAAAGAGGAAGCACGAGCACGAGCCGTGGCTGAAAAGTCAAATGCTTCAAAGACAGTGTTTGCTCTACAAAAGCCTAGGTTGTGGCCAAGGATGACAGAGCTTTGTCAGTGAAGAAGGCTATTAAACAGCTATAGCTAGCTGAAAGATAGTTTTCGGGCCAACGTCGAAAAAAGTCTGGGTGGACAAAAACAGCAGTTGACTAAAGACAGGCGTGCATGCGTGCAAGTTTCATGGGGAGTGCGAAATGCGTTTTGCGGTTTCTTGTCTCGATGTGCGTGATTCAGCAACGTAGCAGAGCAGCCACGAGCCGAGCAGCGGCGGCGCTGGGATGACGAGGGTGTCTGTCCCGTTTGAGCGACGCAAAGAGCGGAGCGACAGGGTGAGTAACAGACAAGACGAGACGAGATGGAGACGCAAACGCAGGCGCAAGGCAGATGATACGAGGTGAAGAAATGAAAAGTGAAGTGCAGTGATATGATGTGAAGTGAAGCAGACGTAGGCCAGTGCAGTGCAGTCGAGTGACAGTAGAAGTCAAGGATGGAGATAGACGGGGAAGGATAAAAGGGTTGACCCTACCTATGGGCTGAAGAAGCGGCGGAAGCGGGAGAGAGATTGGCAGTTGAGGTTGTCGAGGTAGAAGGAAGTCGCACTTCGTTATCACCTGCCGATGTTCGTTCTGCCATGCCCAGACGACCTACGCCATCAGGAAGGCAGCGGGCAGGCGCGGGCGCGGCGGGGTCGTTGTTTCTCTCCGAAAGTCGAGAAGGCGATGAACTGATGACGAGAGCGATAGCGGGTTATCGATTAAGGTAAGGTGAAGTAGTTACGGTGTAGAGATGATGCGGTTTAAGGATATCTTTCTGTGCTGCAGATGAGGCCAGACTTGAAGTTACAGAATAAAGTCCCGGGGAGAAATGCCACTCTGGAGGTGAGAATAAGATGAGAGGAGGAGAAAGGTGAGTGGTGTTTTTTTTGGGTTTTGGGTTTACAGATACGAGTCTTGTCTGGGGGGAGAAGAGGGAGGATGATGGCTCTTCAATTGGATGGATGTGGTGGTTGACGGACGGTCAAGTCGGGTTGACGTGTGTGAGCTGGTCGACTCCACTATCTGCGGCCCTGAGGACACTGGACACACGGCTCGAGGCGAAAAACACATGCAGCACTGAGTGTACGGAGTACGACCTAAGGTTCGTTTGCGATAAAGCTGGAGACTTGTCATGTATTCCACGAACTCAAGGCACTGTGATTCTGTTGAGCCAGCCTTATCGACTGCAAACAAACATGCACTGTGCCGGCTCAGAGAGGGGCGGAGGGGCTTCTGTTTCTAACATGGCTGGGTGGTCTTGTGCCGTTTCTGTTCACATTACTCCATACATGATGCAGTTATCATCCCTTTTAGTCATAACTGTTGTCATACATTGAATAACCACACTCATGGAGTTCCCTTGGAAACGATCTAGTACTGGAATGATCTTCCATGTAAAGATACAGTCCATAGTGATTCAACATCACGAAACAATATTATCAAGGTGCGGCTTGAGATCCGTTCTCAGCATGTGGAGCGGCCCGCTTAGGTCCATAGTGGCGTCTATAGACTACTCCGTACCTTTACTCAGTAAACCCCACTGGAGAGGTCACGCTAGTGAGTGCGACAGCCATCCATCTCTACCTTAACCATCAACATCGGCGATCGGATATTGCACGGCTGACTAGGCCAAGAGAGCCTCAAGCTACTTGACTAAAAGCTTCTGTAGTTTAATAGAAATCATGTTCGTAGCACAAAGACGAGACGGTTAACTGACTCTGGCTTACTGAGGCTTATCGTCATTCTCGGATGATTCATTATTATGTCGCTGTTTGGATAATTCTGAGCTGCCCGCGTGACAACAAGGTACTTTGATCTTTGGATCTTGTTGTACTAGACGGGATGGAGGAACAGACTACATTAGTATTTGCATAAGATCTAAGCTTATTATGGCTTTCAGAAGAACACCTCTGGCCATAATAAACTCCACGAGATATGCTCGAAACCAAGGTCATCTGGTGGGCGCATAACACATTACTAACAAGAACCACAAACTGATGTCACTTACAACTATACCCACACTGGTTGATTTTTTTGCTGAATTGATTAGAATATCATTCGAGATTGTTCTTTGATTTTGCATCGGTTGAGCTATTCATCGCCCCATTACAACTTCTATCTTATGGCTTCAAGCTATCCTTACCACCCTCAAACTCAGCAACATCATACTCCTCGGGATACTTATCCAGCATCTCCTTAAGCTCCTTCATCTGCGCCTTCAAATCATCTGTCAACTCTTCGTAGATATCCTCAAACATGCCCCGGATCGGGGGCTTCTTCTCCCGCTCTGCCTCACTGAACGCCTTCAATATCTCCTTGCGAAGATCACTGCGAGCCTCCTTCTCCTTGGCCTCATCCCAGACACCCTTTGCTTCCATCCACTTTCGTAGTCGAGTGATAGGGTTGTCGCGACGCTTCCAGTCTTCAACTTCTACACGCGCACGGTAGGCGAACGAGTCATCTGATGTGCTGTGATGAGAGACGCGGTAGGTCATGGCTTCAATGAGAACTGGCTTGCCACCATCTTCAAGGGCCATCTCACGTGCCTTCTTTGTAGCTTCTCTGACGGCCCAGATATCGTTACCATCTATTCGGATCGTATCGATACCGTAGCCAATACCACGGCTGGCGATACCATCACCACGGTATTGGTCTAGCGTAGGCGTTGAGATAGCATATCCGTTGTTTCTGCAGATGAAGATAACAGGGCACGATCGTGTTGCGGCAATGTTGAGAGCGGCGTGGAAGTCTCCTTCACTAGCGGCACCCTCACCAAAGTATGCCGCTACCACACGAGCTTTGGAACTGGGGTCCTGAAGCTTTTGCATCTTGAGAGCATAAGCGGCACCGGAAGCCTGGGGAAGTTGTGTCGCTAATGGAGACGAAATTGAATGCTATTACCCCGTGTTAGTTTTGGAATGACGGTTTCAACTCGCATCGTACTTACAATATTCAGCTCTTTGCTTCCATAATGGACAGGCATGCTGCGTCCTCGACTTGGGTCGTTCTTGTTACCAAACAACTGGCTCATGAAATCCTTGGCTGTAAATCCTCGCTCCTTAAACACGCCTTGTTCTCTGTATTGACAGAACATAACATCGTCTTTGTCGAGCACGCTTGAACTTCCAATGCTGACGGCCTCCTCGCCAGCACTAACCATGTAGAAGCTCAATCGACCTTGTCTTTGCGCATCAAACATAATCAGGTCCATAATTGAGATGAAGACCATATCTTTGTATAGACGAATAACCTCCTCATCGGAGATATCAGGTTTGAACGATTCATCCACCACAACTCCATGCTGGTCAACAACGCGATACGTCGATAAGGCAGGATACGACTCGGGGTCTTCGAACTTGAGAGAGCTTGTGAATGCGCTCTTCAAAGCACCAGGAAAGGAGACAAAGTTGGAATTGGGCCGTTGCGATACACTGCTGGCTGATCGGATAGCAATGGGTGTTACATGTGGTCTAGAGAGGGTGGCCCGCCGCAGGGCGACTTGACGCAGAGCTCGGGACTTCATGATGAATGTGTATGTGGGTGCTTGGGTTTCTGGGGTCTCAATTGAGATCTGGGCTATGTTTTCTTTTATTCAAATCGCCGGACGTCAATGATACGCCAGATAGATAGCAGACCGTATTACCGAGGGGCTGTTGTGTCTGAGACCGCAAGGAAGCGACGTCATCCTGAGCCGACTCCAACCCGTGAAAGCCGAGACGGCGAGATAGTAATAAGCCGTGGTTTGACGATGTTCGGCTTCCTCAGCCAATATTTGTTTCCAGGGGTGTCTTACTTATTCGGCAATTGGTCGACTTCCTTGCCAAACCTTACACTGTGCCTCCAGCCTTGACCAACCATTCATCATGTCATGTTTGATGCTGGCCATAAAGCGAAACCCATGATAGCCATGAGGACCCCGACTTATCCCCCACACAAAGTTCTTATCGCTCTACCCCACACTCGCGATAAACTCCAGTTCTCCATGGATGGATCCAGTCCCAGCTCTAGCATCTGCCACTTTTAATTGCAGCTGTCACCAGCTGCCAGTGAATCTCAACCACAGTCAATATGTAGCCATATGCACCATGGCAACCAGTACATAGAATCACTGTCAAAACTGACCAAGCATACAGTTGAAGTAATAAAGAAACATCTTCAACCTTATTACCTCTAATCTCTGCACAACAACACCGTGAAAGACATCGCCAGTAGTAACATCTAATCCAGCTCTTCGAAACGATTTTCGACATGTCTGCCACTCCAGCAGTAGCCATCGCAATCGTTTTCCTTACCCTCTTCGCAATTTTTGCACTCCTTGCCTGGTGGTTGAAGACCCGGGTGCGCACCTTCATTCAAGTCATCGTGAAGCACCGCCAAGAAAAGAACAAGGGTAATGCTTCAACCGTTGCCGACTCTGGAGAAAGCGTCTAAAGGTGAGATGAGATATCTCTATTATCCTTCTTCGCTGCCAGTCTCTCAATTCGACATTGGGATCAATGTCAGCCACTGTGGCTACAAGGCTGGCGCGCCACGATTTCTGACCCACCACAAAACTCCAACTCTCAGCCTCGTATGATTTTCGAACTGACCTCAACCAGAGCTTCCCATAACCTCCGAGGCCCAACCACATTCACAATGGCCTCGCGTACAGCCCTCCGGGGCCTCTCCCGCACATTGAAACCCTCGAGATGCTCTCCTACTTTCGTTCGGCCATTTTGCTCTACCAATGCCGTCCGTGGCGACAAATCAACCCCTACATCTGATCGACCTACCCACTTTGGATACGAGACTGTCACTGAA